AAGCATACCAACAAATGAATCAAGAAGGGTACCAGTAAATGGGCAAAGGAAAGCCTGATTGTGACCAGCATGAGGATTTTTGTAGAATGGGATCCAATTTCCCCAGTGAATGCTCACTTCTGCTCAAGATAGAATCATTCATCCCTAGTGAAGGCATACTCTCGCCCAGACAGAATTCCTTATCCCCAGTGAAAGTATATCCCTTGTGTAATCCCCACTGAAGTCGACACTCTTCATAAGAGTTTGTTTAAGGGTTTATTCCTTCCAGAGGGCTTATCTCCAAAGAAGTGCATTTCATCGGCACGTTTCTATACGATCTTCTTCAGCGCAGTCTACTCTATTTCGAAGAATCTGGGATGGATCATTTCATTGGACTGGATACCTTTGTTATATCCCAGTGAAATCAATATTGTGCGTCTCTGTGGTTGGTGTTTATCTCCCTAATGAGGTTGTCGTTCGTCGTCCTCGTGTAGTTTGTATCGTTTCTCCCCAGGGAAGTTTTCTCCTATTAGGTTTTCTTGAAGAGATGTTTGATCAGCATGCTTATTATGCCCCAGTGGAGCAAGTCTCCTATTTTTCTGGAGCGATATGCATAGGAGAATGCTTTTTAGGGCTCTTTTATCCTCAATGATATGGTATTGCTGAAATATTTCCTCAGTGGAGTTCTGTACCTCAAGCTTATGGTTCAAAGATGTCCTCCTCTTTCTCAAATGAAGATTGTTACCCCCCGGCGATAGTATCCCCAGTGTGGTCTGGATAGAGTTCTCTTATTTAAAAATTTCTATGATTCCCCAATCAAAGTCACTTTTATTGAGGACTTACATCAGAAGGTCCCAGTTCCTGGCAAGGTTCTCTTTATCCGTGGAAAGAAATGTTGGATCTTTTCCCCAGGAAGTTAAGAGTTGGATCAGAGTTCAAGATTTTCTCTGGACTGCAATTTATTTTTGCAGTATTTTCCCCGGGAAGTTAAGAGTTGGATTAGAGTACAAGATTTTCTCTGAACTGCAATTTATTTTTGCAGTATTTTCCCCGGGAAGTTAAGAGTTGGATCAGAGTACAAGATTTTCTCTGAACTGCAATTTATTTTTGCAGTATTTTCCCCAGGAAGTTACTTCCCCTGTCATATCAATCTTCATAGGTCGGTAGTTCCGAATCTCACCTCCCCATTGAATTTTAAAGAGATTCTTATCTACAGAAGTTTAGATGTGCAAAGATAATCATTCATAAGTTCCTAGTCTTCTCAGCAGCCGATTGTTGACGTGTTTTCCCCAGTGCATCGCTAAACATGCATCATTACATTGCATCTACCAAAACGCGTAGCATTTCCATTATATGGAGCATTACACTATAAAAAAATTCAGACATGCATTAGGTTTGAATTATCTCTACTACAAGCTTAGGGTGGATTCTATTTTGTTTCCCCAATGGATTCTGTTTTAATTTACCACTAGTCGGGTCTTTGGTGCTTTCCATTTCCCAAGTAAGTCGTGGTTTTTTCCCTTGCCCTTCCAAGCCCTTGGTTTTTTTTACCCGTGTTTGTCTTGCCTTCTGAGTGCTACTAAGAGTCAGTGTATAAACTTTCTTATTTCTCGAGTATTTAAGTATCCATGCTTGGTGTGTGGTAATTCAGATAAATTGACACTCTTGAAGAATAACAACCCGCTTCTGGCCTGAGGGATATTGTAATTCTTGCGCATTTACAACCTATCAAAAGCCCAACGAGTTTTAGTGATCCTTGTTAAAGTCCTCGTCAGTTGGTCTCTTTCTCTTGTAGAGTTCACCTTCGATCGGTGATCTCTAAAGGTCCTTTTTAGTCAGTTCCTTGCCTTTGGCATCCACGCTAGTCGGGTTCTCCATCTGTTAGTTTAGCTAACCTTCTTTGTTAAGATTCTTTCAGTGTCTCTTCAAAGTCCAATTGTTTGGCATCCTTGTTTAGGAGAATGTCTCATTTCTTGTTGGGGCTTTCTTCGGTTAGTCTCTTTCTTATGTTCACTACCAGTTTCAAACATTTGTTTCTTGACGCCCAATTTCATTTTTGTGTGTCTAACTCTGACCAGACATGCATATCTTTATCCCATGTGAGTTCTCCCTTGATCGGAATTCGTTCCCCTTTAAATCCATCTTTGGTTGGTACCATTTGTTAGGAGTCCTCTTCGGTTGGTCTCTTTTCTTTGTAAGTTCGCCCTTGATCGGCGTTCCATTAAGAATCAATGTCTATTGGTATCCCTAGTAAGTTCATCTTCGATTGGTGTTTCTTTGTTAGAGCCTTCTTTGATTGGTCTCTTTCTTGTATATGTGTAACTCTGGCCTGACATGTATCTCCATTATCTTTGTTGAGAGTCTACTTCGGTCGGTCTCTTTCTTATGTGTGTATAACTCTGATCAGACATGCATATCTTTATCCCCTGTCGAGTTGTTACTCGCGCATCTTTTTTAGAATACAGTGTTCTGGTATTCTGAGGATTCTAGTTGTTACTAGTCCTCCCCTATCGAGTTGTTACTCATTTTCCTTGTCGTTGTTAGCTTCGCCCTAGCGCAATGTTGTGGGTTTGTAGATATCATTCCTACCAAGGTCAAGTTCGCGACTTGTCACCTGATTTTTGAGTGCAACGTTCTGGCATTAATTTTGTATTGGTTCAGTCTAGTCATTACTAGGTTCTACCGAGGCAAATTAATATTTGTCTCGTTTCATCTGTATAATTCCTTGGTTAGGGTCAGTCATTATTGTTTCTTCCGGGTTCGAGATTATCAGGTGTTCGCCTTGTTTTGAGGACCCAATCGTTATTGGTATCCTGAGGAGTACTCATTAAGGTCTAGTCGTTACTATTTCCTTTCAAAGCAGGATTCGTTACTCTTGATTTTGGTTTGTGATCCAGGGTGACACATTCTTTAAAGTATTCCTAAGATCGATTTGTTACTCGTACCTTCACTCGGTCCCCCGTTGTTGTGATTAACGTGACAATGAGTTTTGGTTCAGAAAGGCATTGTTCCTGTTTGATTGAGACAAGTTGTTACTGGTTTTTTGAGAAAGTCTATTCGTTACTAGTCTTATCCTGTAAGGTCATTATTCTTTCTCAGAATGCAGCATTCTGGAATTCTATGAAGTCTAGTTGTTACTAGCATCTTTTGGTCCTTACTTTTTTCGGAATGCAGTGTTCTGGTATTCTGTAAAGTGTAGTTGTTACTAGCATCTTTTGGTCCTTACCTTTTTTTGGAATGTAGGGTTCTGGCATTCTGTAAAGTCTAGTTGTTACTAGCATCTTTCGATCTTTACCATCTTTCTCAGAATGCAGCATTCTGGCATTCTGTGAGGTCTAGTCGTTACTAGCATCTTTTGGCCGTTACTTTTCTTCCTCAGATTGCAGTGTTATGGCATTTTGTGGAGTCGAGTTGTTACTCACGTACTTTGTCTCATAATGCACCGTTCTGGTATTTTGTGAAGTCTAGTCATTACTAGTGTATTTGGATCAAGTTCCACGGTCTTTGATCCCTATTTCCCATCTACAAACTCGTTCTTTAGTCAATTGCCAAGAGACCATCAAAATTTTACCTTGTGTTGTTATATGTCGTCTCAATTCAGAGTGCAAATTTTTGAGTTCATTTTTGTATTCTATCTCCTTCCACCTCATCGCTCGAAAGGCGTCTGCCAATCTCACTCTCTGGTTTAAGAAGATTGAATAGGGGCAGCTGTTGTACCCTAAAATTTGCCCTCTTAATTTCTCCTATCTGGATTATCTTGCATTCATCTTCATAGCATACATTCACATTTCCATAAAGCGCCTGAGGTTCAAAGTTCATTGGTCGTGCAATATTTGGGTTCAACAATGGTGTAAGGTGTATGTATCCAATAAAGGCTTGTTTCTTTTGAGGCTTCTTTGCGCAACGAAAGGGGGAATTAGGGTTTGGTTTCTCTTGGTGTATTCATAAAATAAAGATTGGTCCGTCTGGTTTTCCTTTGTGTAATGAGCTGTGGAATTAGGGGTGTCAAGTATGTTTATTGTGGACTTATTTCTCTTCAAGCTACTGGGCTATTTTTCTCCAAAAGACACTAAGGTCTTAGAACAAAGTTTATTTCTCTATATTTCTCGAAAGACCAAGGTTTCAATCTTTTATGGCTAAGTATGAAGGAATTAGGATTTTTTTACAACTCTAAGGATCTGATTTTTAATCAAGGGTTATTCGAGGTGCTCTTTCATCAATGATTTTCATTTCTTTCAGGAGTATCATGATCATTAAGGTTTCTCTTTGCCTTCCAAGAATTCATTCAAGATTCACATATCTTTTAATAACGCCAATACTTTGGATTTATACCATGATTATTTGAACTCGTACAATGACATTTAAAAGAAATATTGGAGAAAAAGACTTGGCATTACAAAATCAATACTTGATTCAAGTTTGCAAGTTGAAGAATTTGAAGTTGAATTTGGGAGCAATAGAAGAAAAGATACCTATTCAATTCAAACAATTCAAATTTGGAAGAGAATCATCATATTACATTTTCTAAAAAATCCAAGTTCATTATAATTTCCGTTGTTCATCACTTTATATCAAATCAAGAATCCACAAAGGTCTATTACAAAAATTCATCTAACATTACAAAAGCCATTCAAAATCACCAATTTCTCTCCATATCTCTATCCAAACCGATGCAAAGTTACACACTCTTCCATACTCAAAACAACCTTGCAAAAACTGTCCATAGGCCATGAACCAGTTCCAATGCAGGCAGAAAACCGGTCCACAAATTCAATCAAAAAAATAGTTTAGCAACCTACAAACATGCTCTAAAACCAGCCCAACACAGATCAGAAACATGACCCTGTATTGAAACCACAAAACTGTAATAACAGACCTGCACTCATTTGAAATATCAGGAAAGAAACTGTGGAAGAGTATATCAAAAAATCAGAAATTAAATTAAATCATAAAGCAAAATTCTAGCTCGGCAAAACAACCATAATAGAAAACTAACTTTCTCATTTTTTTATAATAGAAATCTAGATCCAAGGTAACAGAATATATAAACATAATTTACCTCTTTCAATGGCATTCTTAAAAAAATTCCCTGAAGAATCACAGAACAAAGGCTCTCTTCTCCTCTCATCTCCGCCTTCATTCTTCAACAATCCTGAAGAATCACCACAAACTCTCTGACTGAAATTCTCCAAACTTCTCTCTGCAATCTTCTCCATCCCACTCTCCATAACCGAATCTTCATCATCACCAATCATCAATCTCCCAGAATCGCTTCATTGATTCTTCAACCTTCATCTGCAACAAACGATAACATCTTCATCATTGCAAGATCTTCTGCAAATGCAACCTTCTTCATACATCTTCATTCTTGATACATCTCTCAAATTCTTCATCGCTCTGAATTCACACAATATCACCAAAAAAATTCAGAACTATCAACAACAACCATCTCATAAATGCACTACAATTCACGTTCAGAAGAAGAAACAAAAAAGAAAATATCTCAAGAACGTACCTATGTTCGCGGCTCCGCTTTGTTCATCTTCATCATCGAAGATGCGATTCCGCTGGTGTTCTCATTATGCTCTGGATGTGAGATCGTAGAGTAGTATAAGAGGAACTAAAGCCCTAACAAGCCATGGCTTGAATCCACCGCAGATGATTCGGAGAAGAGGAATACGGTGAAGAATCTACTTCTAGATTTCCCGTCGTCGTCGGCATCTCTGTTGAAAAATCTCTGAACTCGTATCCGGTATACAATCTTCTTCTATCTCCTTGGTTAGCATATGGTGTATGTTGTTTGTTCAAAAACCTCGAAGAAGAACGCCAGAGGATAACAACGACGACAGATTGGAGTTCATCGAAGAAGAGAAGAGGCACGTATTCGAAGAGATGAGGCCGGAGATGGAGTTTTGTTCAAAGCAAAGGTGAGGTCAAACGAAGAAGTCAGCGAAGTCACAAGGGCGAAGGTTGAGCGTGGCTGCTAGCGATCGGAGACGTGGAAGATCGAGGAATTGAGTCTTTCGCCGCCACGAGTTGTCTGAAGAAGAGGATGAGGTTGAGTCTGTCGGCGCCGTCGAAGGGAACAAAGAGGAGGGAGTTTGTTCTGAATGGTGAAGAAGCCAAATCCCTAGTTCCTCTTTCTTTTTTTTTCTATTTAATTACTTTGTTGTTATTATTGATAAAAACAAAATATATAAACGTTAATAATACAATTGAAACAAAATAGTAATGATGTTGTTGGATTGCTCCTTGGACCGAATTGCACAATTTAGGCCCGCTACCATTTTTTTGAAGGCCTGTATAGAAGCAAACAAAAAAGGCCTTTCTAGACTCACAAGTTGGGCCTAGCACCCAGATTTCTTCAACAAATCCCTGGTTTCGGACCGCGCCACCCCCCAAAGTTCATAACAACTGTTTTTTTGGCAGCCTGATTGCTTGTAATAAAAAAAGTTGATTGGATCCTGATTTGGCTGGGCCTAACACCCAGATTGCTTATACACTCGTGGATTTATGGCTTGCACCCCCTGAGTTTATTCTTTTAGTAATTTCTTTTAAATAATTTTGTGAATTGTTTAGATTTTTTTAAACCTTTTTTTTACATGATAAAAATAGTAAAATCAAATATAAAATTTTGTTAGATTTTTTTTATTTGTTTTTTTAGGAATTAAATCAGGATTATCCGATTATTTGAGATTTGTAACTCACCTTTGCTTGTTGAGATTTGAGTTTTATGCAGGTTTATCGTGTGATATGCGGATGTGTTTGAGATTCCGATTGTGATTTATTTTCACATCGATGATGCTTCGACACTTATTTCAAGCATTTGATTTTGAACTCTTTTCTTTGCTTGGTGAAGCTTACTCAAAGTTTTCTGGGTTTCTCTGTTTTTGCTCGTGGCGCGACGAACTTTTGTTCGTTTGGTGTTTTCTCTCGTTTACCTCATTTCAGCATTTACCGCTTTCTAGAGATCATGTATAGTATGGAATCTATCGCTTTCTAGAAAACATGTGAAGTAGGAAGCAGGAAATAAAGAGCGTGTGCTCTAAGTATCTATTTAAAGTCCTGTAGCAGGCACCGCTTTCTGTATGCTATCTGTGTTTGTTTAAAATCCTACCATTGAAGTAGGTATTATGCACGTGTGTTTATATTTATGACCGTATTATATTACAGATGATAAGTCCTCAAAAGGAGGCAAGCAGAGAGGGTCCATAATCAACCCCCGCACATTCTAGTTCGTGTCATCCTTAGCTCACGTTGTACGTCGATGCTTCAGAGTCATGCAAATCATGTGTATCGAGTCGGTCATGTGGGGAAGGGTTCGCAATCAACCTCCACACTTTGTCAGGAGTTCGCAGTGGCCATTGCTGATACTTCGCTACCCACTTGTTTTCTTCGGGTGATCCGCTCCCCTTAGCTAAAGTATTTCTTTTCTTTCTTATTTCATTTGTCTCCCACTTGTTTGCTTCGGGTGATAGGCTTCCCTTAGCTAAAGCATTTCTCTTGTTTCCCCCATCCCTTTGAGTCGGTATGTGCTACTCATGTTTGTGTGCTTTTGCCAAAGCATTTTTTTGCTTATTTGTTTGCTATACCATGTTCCCTTAGAATAGGAATTTGTATGCTTCCCTTAGGATCGCTCGATTAGAGTAGCTTTCGAGCTAGACATTAGGATAGGTATCCATGCATGCTAACATAGGGTAGATATTTCCCTTTTATCCTCAACCTTAAGGTTAATCATTGTATGACAACATTAGGGATATATTTAGGATAGTCTCCCTTAGTTGTTTTTTCTTTCTTTTGCATCCTTGCATTAAAACTAAAAACTCTTTTCTTGAAAAATGCATAAAACATATAACAATTTTCAAATCCTTCTTTAAGGTAAAAGATATTAACCAATTCAAATCTTTTTCTCTCTTGTGGGCATTTCATTAACTTAAAGTATGTGTTAATTCCACTCTATGCAATACGACGCGTAATTCCCCAAGGGTCGGATTGCACCATGCTTACTTGCTAAGAGTCGTGAATGTAACATCACCCGCCTTCGGGCACTTTTTATTTTGAAAGCACCTGGTTAGGTGAGAGCATGTTATTTCCTTTCTAATACAGATGTGTGAGTCTCTAATGGTCGAGCAGCGGTGGAATGATTGAACTTAGTATTGTTCATTAAAAACACAAACAAACTAAAACATATAAGTCGAACTACGGTAACTCTGATTGCTCAAAAAGGATACGTAGGCATTGGGGTAGGGCCCAAGCGAGCACAACTTTATTTTACCTATATTACTTTATCTTCTTTTTGAATGCATTCCTTGTACGACTTAGATATAGATTCTTACGCATCCTTTAATTAGAACAACAAGAATGGATACCATAGAGTACTACAGGCGTATGGGGTGCTAATACCTTCCCCTCGCATAACTGACTCCTTTATCCGATAATTCGATCATTTGATCTTGATTTAACACTTCTCAGATTTACTCGATGTTTACCTTTCCCTTCCTGTGGGATAAAAAATGTTTGATGGCGACTTCATTGATTTCATCTCGATGGTTTGTTCAGCCGGTTGTTTCAGTGCCCTTGTGATGGGTCATGGATAATTAAAGCGTATAGGTTTGTCTATGCAACAAGGTTACTTGTCACATTATGGTTGCATTTTATGCTATCATGATTTCCAGATACTCGATTTGAACGTGAAGATTGCTTGATGTAGGAGAAAGACCCACTGTAGGTTATGAAAGTACGCAGAGATCTTGCCCCATATGTGGACCGTCTTTCCCTAATTTGTTGGTAGAGTCTTGGAGGATATTATCTTCGATATGAGCTTGGAAACAGTTTGATCATAATGTGAATGACCCCACTATTTTATATTATACCCCTTATTAAAAGACTTTTGAAAATGTTTGACTTTGACGAATCATTCTGAATCAACTCCCTTTTGATCGAGCCTCGCAGTGGTTTTCCCCAACATTCGAATTTTAAAAGATGTGCCCCTCAATCTTTAGGATCTAGAGAAAGTACCCTCAGAGAGAACTTAGACCTCACCATGAACTTGACATAGGTTTCCTAAAGTATTCGAAGCTTGAAAAGTTTGTACTTGAAGTTGCTTAAAGGGGAATTTGGACCCTACGTGCAGTAGGGTGAACTTGGTACGTACTGCCCCAACATTTGAATCCTGGAAGGTTGCCCCTGATTATCAAGGATTTAAGAGGTTTGTTAAATTGAGGAAACCGAGTCATACCCTATTATGGTATGACTTGGTTAAGGAATGCTCCTTCGAAAGGTATGCCCCTGATTGAACAATGCTTTAAAATTTGATCTAAGTTGATTGAATCTCAGAATGATCACCCCTTGTCAATAGTATCATCATGTGATATACCCCTACGATCATTAGTATTTACCCCTGTTTATAGGGGTCCTCTTATATGCTTTTCCCCCAGTTAGAAGCTTCTTGGAAATGTTGCCTTTGATCATAACCTTTTTTTAAATCTCTTTGATGCTAAGTATTGATTCATAGATAAAATTGTATATTTTGAGAAGTAATTATGTTTGATGCATATACAAGTTCTTGAAATCGAAGTTTGAATAGAAATGGATGATTTAGAGATGGATATTCGAAGAAGCGAAGTAGTTAGAAATAAATTTAACAAACATAGGGGTCAATTTAACACAAATTTTGTCGAGTATGCTTTCATAGTGAACCTAGCTTCAATTAGGACTTTTTAAAGGTTATAACATGGCCATGGTTCGTGGTTTAAGAAACAAAAGATATAAGGCTCAAAATTTATTTATCCCACCCCATTCTCCTTGATGTTCTCTGGTCCTAATTTCAATTAATGCAACAAATGCGTTTAATTCCCAAGAGAAATTTCGTAGTCACGCAGATGATGAGAAGCGTAGATAAAGATCTAAGCACCAATGAAAAGCATTGATAAGATCCAAGCATTGATAAGATCCAGGTGTTGATGAGAAGCCTTGATGATTCTTAAGGCGGCAGTCACAAGATTGTTCTCCAATTTTTTTTATTTTCAATCCCTTATTTCTGCATGGACAAATCCTTTTGAACTTGCGATCCATCGGGATGCCCTAACTTTTGTCTAAGTCAAGTTTTGATTTCCTTTAATTTTTTTATTTTTGACATGGTGGGATTTTTTTAATTCTTTTAAACTTCTTTTTGCTTTTTGCTTTTGACACTGGTGACTGTCATGCTGATTGTTGTAAGCTTCGTCTTCATAATTTCCTTGATCTTGATTGATGTACTGAGGAAGAAGACATTGTGGACTTTGTCTTTGTTGACTCCTCAATCTTGGATGATGACTGTGAGGGAGATGATGTGCTCGAATCTTTGCTTTGATCTTTCTCTCAATGATGTATTGAGGAAAGAGATATGCTTGAACCTTTGCTTAGATAATTTCGATTCTCCAGGGATTTAGATGCATCATCGAATTAATTGAAATCTACCATGCCCCTGGTTAAGATTAAGGTTTTTTTTAGAAAATAGAAAGAAATCCGACTTCTGGCTCGAGGGGGTTAACTATGGATTATCTCCTTATATCTCCATTGTTTGGGAAGTGAAATAATGCCTTACATCGTCAGCTAAGCCTTACTATTAAAAAGCATACGTCAGCAAAATTCGATTATTTTGTATTTTTATTATTCTCCATCAAAGTTTGTTAAAGTTATGAAATGGAAGATAAAAAAGAAGAATAGAAAGTTGTTGATTATTTGTGGAATGGATCGATTTCAAAAACATACATGATTATTTTATTAGAATTACTGATCCAAATACAAATTTATAGCAAATGAAAATTAAGAACTAGGAAATTACAAATCGAAACGATAAAGGCCTAATGATCTAGAGATAGCCCCCTTATTGATCCGCTGACTTTAGGGGATTCTTCTTAGTCTTTGGATTTGTAAGAGCAAGGGGCGACCATTTACCAATGGGATGCCTTCTTCAAAAGTCAACTGCTTATTGTCAATTAAATCTTAGACCTTGTGTCTGAAACTCCAACATCTTTCAAGGGTATGTCCTGGAGAGTTGGCATGATACTCGCACATGGCACTTGCATCATACTTAGGCGGGAGTGTCCCATTCGAAGGATTCAATGGCTTCTGCTCTACCAACGATGCCTTGAGTAAA